TTGAAGCAACTTTGGAACATACCCGGTCACTCACTCACTTTAAAAGTCAATGTTTTAATAATCGTAACTTAGCGTTGCAATTCATGTGTCATCTATACTTGATGTTACTAGAATGCTGCCTAAAGCTTGGTTAATACCAATCAGCTCAGTCACTCAACATGTCAGCGGTTTGTTATCGTATCTGCACATACAAATGTAACCTTTGCGTTTCAAGTTCCAAGGTTTACCGCTACGAACGGAGGTGATGGTCTGGGTCCAGAAAAAAACATCATAACGTTAAGATGATCATGATGATCATAAGCCAAATACGTTACCACAGATTTTGCCTCTAAGATCAGAGGTGTAGGGCATGATTCCATAAAATTACATCATAACGCTAAGATGATCATAAGCCAAATACGTTACCACAGATTTTGCCTCTAAGATCAGAGGTGTAGGGCATGATTCCATAAAATTACATCATAACGCTAAGATGATCATAAGCCAAATACGTTACCACAGATTTTGCCTCTAAGATCAGAGGTGTAGGGCATGATTCCATTAAAAGACATCATAAAGCTAAGATGATCATAAGCCAAATACGTTACCACAGATTTTGCCTCTAAGATCAGAGGTGTAGGGCATGATTCCATAAAAAAAACAACATAATGACGCTAAGATGATCATAACCCCAAATATGTTACCAAAGACGTCACCGCTAACATCGGAGGTGTAGGGGATGGTTCCATAAAAATACATCATAACGCTAAGATGATCATAACCCCAAATATGTTACCAAAGACGTCACCGCTAACATCGGAGGTGTAGGGCATGGTTCCATAAAAAGACATCATAACGCTAAGATGATCATAACCCAAATATGTTACCAAAGACGTCACCGCTAACATCGGAGGTGTAGGGCATGGTTCCATAAAGACATCATAACGCTAAGATGACCATAACCCAAATATGTTACCAAAGACGTTACCGCTAACATCGGAGGTGTAGGGCATGATTCCATAAAAAGACATCATAACGCTAAGATGATCATAACCCAAATATGTTACCAAAGACGTTACCGCTAACATCGGAGGTGTAGGGCATGGTTCCATAAAAAGACATCATAACGCTAAGATGATCATAACCCAAATATATTACCAAAGACGTTACCGCTAAGATCGGAGGTGTAGGGCATGGTTCTATAAAAAGACATCATAACGCTAAGATGATCATAACCCAAATATGTTACCAAAGACGTTACCGCTAACATCGGAGGTGTAGGGCATGGTTCCATAAAAAGACATCATAACGCTAAGATGATCATAACCCAAATATGTTACCAAAGACGTTACCGCTAACATCGGAGGTGTAGGGCATGGTTCCATAAAAAGATATCATAACGCTCAGATGATCATAACCCAAAATATGTTACCGAAGGCATTACCGCTAACATCGGAGTTGTACGTTTTGTTCCACAAAGACATCATAACGCTAAGATGATCATAATCCCAATGTGTTACCACAGACTTTACCGCTAAGATCGGAGGTGTAGGTCTGGTTCCAGAAAGACGTCACAGTGCTAAGATGATCATAACGCCAATATGTTACCAAAGACGTTACCGCTAAGATCGGAGGTGTAGGTATTGTTCCACAAAGACATCATATCGCTAAGATGACCATAATCCCAATATGTTACCAAAGACGTTACTGCTAAGATCGGAGGCGTAGGTCTGGTTCCAGAAAGACATCAAAGCACTAAGATGACCATAATCCCAATGGGTTAACACAGACTTGCATGTGCGGACAGGGCTCTGTTCCACCAGCGACGTTATCACAACGGTTCTGGTTCGTCTATCACTGATATGCGAGTTATGATCGATCTTATCGCAAATTAGCTGCGTGGAAACTTTAAGGTTCCCTCGTTGGTCCTTAGATGTGAACGTTGACCATCAGTCTTTCAATCTCCTATTACCTGGTCCACTACTATATACTGCTGCTACTACTGCTGCTGCTACTGTCACTGCCACTACTACTACTACTACTACTACTACTACTAATGTTTTGCTACTAACACCGTCACTGCATCCTAATACTAATGATACAATGACCACCACTACGGCAGAAATAACTACTACTACTACTACTACTATTACTACCACCACCACTTCTACTACTGCCACTACCTCTACAACTACTACTATTGCTGCTCCTGCTACTACCACTACTACTATACCACCACCACCGCTACTACTACTACTACTGTGTGCTGTGACTACTAGTATTCATACTACTACAACTATTTCCTACATCAATACTACCACGCAACCTCTACTAATACTCTCAGTACTAGTACTGATCACCACAAACCCCTCCTACTACATATTCCCTATTACCATAAATATTAAACCCATTCATGCCGAGCTTCACGTCAGGCAGTTCTATAGGAATTACAACAGCTGACTATGACACAATCCGAAAAAACACACGGCAGGTGATTGTTCATGCCGTCTGAATCAAACACAGGAAACAGTGCGAAATCCTTCTTCAAGAGCACGGGATATTTCTGGTATGATAGTTTATTTTGACAGGAGTCATTAGAACAGTATGTTAAAGAGACAGTACACAGAAGCAATACTAAATATATTTTGAACAGACAACTTGCTATTTTCACGAACTACTTTTTGTTCTTTCAAAAGCACCTGATGCCCTTTGTGGCTTAGTGTCTTGAATACTTTGCGTAATATGGAAGTGCCTTACTGTGGAATTGTATGATTTCCGTATAGAAAAAGGATATAAGAATGCGGTATGATGAAAAAAGTTAATTGTGTGTCTGTTGGAATTTCCGGCCTATCGGCGAAGCACAATCCCGTGAGCTATAAACTGGCGTCAGGTGCCCTGGCTGAGCCCGGGGTCACGTCTTCCGAGATGTGCAACTGCGCGTACGAATAGTAAAACCAGTCCGGTCGGGTTTTAGGAGGCAACATGTTGGCGTGTGTTTTCGTTGAGACTGGGTCACGTCTTTCGAGATATATGCGACTGCGCGTACGAACAGTAAAACCAGTCCGGTCGGAATTGGGGAGGCAACATGTTGGCGTGTGTTTTCGTTCGATTTTAGTCTAAAATTCATTCTTACTGAGTAAGTGGTTATTGTTTTGTTTATAATCATGTACTGACGAGTACTTGAAATTATGAGTAATGAGTTACGCCAATAAGGTACGAGTGAGTGAGTGAGTCTGCTTTACGCCGCTTTTAGCAATTTTCCAGCAATATCACGGCGAGGAACACTAGAAAGGAGCTTCACACATTGTGGGGAATCGAACCCGGAACTTCGGCATGACGAGCGAACGATTTGGAATAATCACTAGCCTACCCAACCGTCTCGGTGAGGTACGAAATCACGCAACCCGATTACCGCACCCCACAAGCGTCGGCGCTTATGTTTGTTTGTGGTTTAACGTCGCCCTCAGCAATATTCCAGCTGTATGGTGGCAATCAATAAATACCCGAATCTGGACCAGGTGATCCACTGATCGAAATCATAAGCATCAATCTAGACATTTGGGATACGACGACAAGTATCAACCAAGTTCGCGAGTCTGAACACCCGATCCCCTTAGTCGCCTCCCACGACAAGCATGGGTTGCTGAAGACCAATTCTAACCCGGATCTTCACGTGTTCTGCGCTTATGAACATATCTGCAGAGAAATATTCCCGTGACACAGAATTCAACAAATGTAACAAGCTTTCGTTGATGTGAACATTTATATATCAACCAAAGTTAGATTCATATGTTCACTGTGGGCACGGGTGGCCCAGGTATCTGAGGCACTGCAGCTCACCTTCCTTTGAGTATGCCAGAAACCAGAGCGGTAACCCTCTGGGACTGCATTACTTCGGGTTGTCCTCACACATTAAGCTGACACACCGTGATATAACTGGAATATTGCTCAAAGCGGCGTAAAACCCAAATCACTCGCTTATATGATCACTAGCATATTGAGAGGCACCAATTATAACCCAAGAAATTCTGGCGATTCTATTAACTTCCGGAAATACCCATTCGGCTCAGTTTAATTCCACAGGCCATACATTAACTGGGGGTGTTGCACAAAACATCCTTATCGCTAAGACTACCTTACCTCTATGTTAAGGTATGGGAGTTACTGTCAAGTTACTTACCGCTAAGATCCCATTGTACAACGGCACCTTGGACTTCACCAGCCACATGACTATCACAGGCGCAAGACAGTCTCATGACAGTGATGATTATCATGTATATGATGCTCAATAAAACTGCTCACCTAGTTTTAGTCACTCATCACAAAATCAATTCTGAAAATAGAACGTCAAGTACGAACTATATGCGGAAGGATGCGTCGTAATGCGGTTTAACTGAAACCCTACAATATCACTACGCCATGATGCTAAGGGGGGCAAGCTGAGAGGGCCGACTGAGATAAGACGTCGTGTACAGTTGCGTCTATTCTTGTCCAGTCTAGAAGCACACAAGCCACATAAACGTGTAAATCCCCCAGACACGTCTGGCTTACTTGGTCTTACCCCTGACAGATGGATTTCCTCTCGGCGCTGACCGTAACACCTCTTACATGACTTGGTTCCACAAATATGATACTACCTTAACGTTAGTGTAGGTGTACATGATGCTGAGGAGGAACGATTGGCGCATGCGCATGAAGCCGTGATGCAAACTGCAGGGCAGAAGAAAGCATACATTTAAGATTGGATTTGACCAAAAAAGTTCAAACGTTGCAAAAATGTTTCTCTGCTGAAAACGGTCGCCGAAAAACTGCAGACTTTAGGTCTGAGACGCAGCTATGATTTCCGTATCAAATGCATCACTATCGCTATTTCTCATTGTTGATTTTTTTGGACAAACTTCAGCAAAGTTTAAAAGAAATGAATCATGGATGCACACAATGATGTAGTTGTCTCAGATAGTTTACGTAGACGGTTTATTCATTTTTGTCGTTTTCATTTGAAAATGAAAGTATTTAAAACTTTAACTAAGTAGCCACTTAGCCCGAGTAGCTACTGTTGCCGGCGTAGTCCGAGTAGCCACTGTTGCCGGCGTAGCCTGAGTTGCCACTGTGGCCCAACTAGCCCGAATAGCCACTGTTTCCGGCGTAGCTAGAGTGGCCACTGTTGCCGGCGTAGTCCGAGCAGTCACTGTTGCCGGCGTAGTCCGAGTAGCCACTGTTACTGGCGTAGCCCGAGTAGTCACTGTTGCCGGCGTAGTCCGAGTAGCCATTGTGGCCCAAGTATCCCGAATAGCCACTGTTACTGGCGCAGTCCGAGTAGCCACTGTTGCCGGCGTAGTCCGAGCAGTCACTGTTGCCGGTGTAGCCCGAGTAGCCACTGTGGCCCAAGTAGCCCGAGTTGTCACTGTTGCCGGCGTAGCCCGAGTAGCCACTGAGCCGGTGTAGTCCGAGCAGTCACTGTTGCCGGCGTAGTCCGAGTAGCCACTGTGGCCCAAGTAGCCTGAGTAGCCACTGTTGCTGGCGTAGCCCGAGTAGCCACTGTTGCCGCCGTAGTCCGAGTAGCCACTGTTGCTGGCGTAGCCAGAGTAGCCACGAGCAAAGTAGCCCGTAGAGCAGTCACTGTTGCCGGCGTAGCCCGAGTAGCCACTGTGGCCCAAGTAGCCCGAGTAGCCACTGTTGCCGGCATAGTCCGAGCAGTCACTGTTGCCGGCGTAGTCCGAGTAGCCACTGTCGCTGGCGTAGCCCGAGTAGTCACTGTTGCCGGCGTAGTCCGAGCAGTCACTGTTGCCGTCGTAGCCCGAGTAGCCACTGTTACTGGCGTAGTCCGAGTAGCCACTGTTGCCGGCATAGTCCGAGCAGTCACTGTTGCCGGCGTAGTCCGAGTAGCCACTGTCGCTGGCGTAGCCCGAGTAGTCACTGTTGCCGGCGTAGTCCGAGCAGTCATTGTTGCCGTCGTAGCCCGAGGAGCCACTGTTACTGGCGTAGTCCGAGTAGCCACTGTTACTGGCGTAGTCCGAGTAGCTACTGTTGCCGGCGTAGCCCGAGTAGCCACTGTGGTCCAAGTAGCCCTTGTGGCCCAAGTAGTCTGAGTAGGCCGAATAAACCGAGAAGCCCCGTTGTGGCCCGAGTAGACGAAGTAAACCCAGTAACTCGAGCAGCCCGAATAATCTGCGAAATCCGTGAAGTAGACAAAGTAGACAGGGTAGACGAAGTAGTGTTAGTTGCCCGGGTATACCGAGTAGACCGAGGAGATCGAGTAGCAGGTAGCCTCATAAGCCAAACTATCTCGAGTAGCCCAAGTAAACGAAGTAGTGACGGTTGCCCGAATAGACCGAGAAGCCACAGGAGAACCAGTATCCTGAGAGGCTAAAGTAGGCCAAAGTAAAACTCGACTGGCACAATTTGCCTCAGAAGCCCGAGAAGCCGGGACAGGGAGACCGGAATGGAAAAACTAGTTAACCGGCACCCCTTGATTGTCTTCAGGGCTGACTAGAATGACGATCGGTTGATCACAGCATGTTACCTGTCTGTGTGCCATCGTAACTCGACAACATGGAAAGGTTGTTTGTGTTATCAACCACTAGTTTGTTTGAAGAGTTTCGAAGCTATCTTGATACAGCCCGTATAACGTGTCTTTTGGAGAACAACAACAACAACAACAACAACAACAACAACACCTTGCTGCCAAGACGCTACATCAAGGACATACTGTTCGAAACGGCCTTAAACCAAACTCACTTACTCACGTACGGTTTGTATTTGTTTATTTGTTATTCGGCAATATTCCAGCTATATTGCGGCGGTCTGTAAATAATCGAGTCTGAACCAGACAATCCAGTGATCAACAACATGAGAATAATCTACTCAATTGGGATACGATGACATCTGTCAACCAAGTCAGCGAGTCTGCCCACTCGATCCCCTTAGTCGCCTCTTACGACAAGCATGGGTTGCTGAAAATCAATTCTAGCCTGGATCTTCACGAGTGCTCACACAGGGAAATAGCGATCGGGTGGCATAATGGCTTAGCCATTGCTCGTCAAACTTTACTCCAGTGCAACCTGTGCTTGGTGATCCCATGATACTTTCTAAAAAACGTTTAAACCCTCACCCACTTACGTGTGTGCAGCACCGGGCAATTAACCAAAACCAGGAATCGTCAGCAGATTAGCCGCACAATAACCACTCATTATTCTGGAACTAAATGTTGGCGAAATGGGAACAATTGCAAAACCTGCATCACAAGTCGAAACCACCTTCTAGTCAAACACTCGCAGGAATGCAACGAGGTCTCATCGCGAAACGGCAAATTGGTAGCAGCTTTTACCAACCATTCGGCACCGCCAGTCACGGGAAAACGATCACATAGAAAGCAAAAGACTATGACAGATAATGACAAGACTATTAGAGGCAACGCAGCGGAAGCGATACAAGATCTAACGGTAAATTGATTTAGGAGACACTGTCGGAAAATCTCGGCAACTTCCGTCAGCAAGTTGCGTAATGGATGAGTGTATCTCTTCCTGTCTGTCTGTCTGTCTGTCTGCAGGTCTCTTCTCTTTCTCATCTTTCTTCTTTATCTGTGTGTGTGTCTCTCTCTCTCTCTCTCTCTCTCTCTCTCTCTCTCTCTCTCTCTCTCTCTCTCTCTCTCTCTCTCTCTCTCTTCGTAATATCATCATTATATCGGGTTCCTAGTATGGTGATCATAGCCCATTTTTATATTGTATTGTCCAAATACAATTTCTACTTTTAAAGATATATGCTAACTAGTTTTACCTAAATTGTGATAACCTAGTAATTTAACTGTCCTTCGTTGACAGGGTTTCATATATTATATGTATGCTTTATGGATTTAGAATTAGTTTTAATCACGATATGGCTGAAATATTGCCAATGTGACTTTAAATTTTAACTCACTCACTCACTCACTCACTCATCATTATATCGAAGCGTCAGTTATGACGTTATTTCCTCTATATCGTGACCACAGTGACGTAATATCCTGTTTATCGTACACAGTGATGCCACAGCAAGAGTACGCTGATATATACTCTTAAAAAAGTACGGGAACCTGAACCTTCAATTTAGATAGGGAGTATAAGCGAGTATATAACATGAATGTGACGTGTGTCGTTATCACCATTTACCGTAACCGCAATGTCCTCCTTTTTGTATAACGTTATGCCGTAACAACATTTCGCTGAAATATCATTTTGAACTAAATCTAACATAACTTATACTTTAGGGCGATAAAAACTCGGTTTCGATTCCCAACGTGGGTACAATATCCGAAGCCCATTTCTGTTGTTAACTCAAGTGATCATATTTGAAAAGATATCTTTTTGCAATCATTCAAGGTCGTTGCTGCGGTGGAAATGTTTTAGAAAAATGGTAAGTTTGCCTCAAACCAAATTCTATTCTGACAGTAATCCCCTTGGGTCAAACCCCTGACCCAACCAACCCCTGCACCACCCACATTGTCCCTTCCCGACCCCCGGGCGTTGGCCGTAGGAAGACAGGACCCAGTGGACAGAAAATGATGCCAGTTTAACTCAATAACGGATCAATTGATCTGCAAAGCCTGGACTGGATCAAATGGTAGCTTGCGCTAGCACTACGAAAAATCCCATTACATTGTTTTTATATCCACTTTTTTGCCATTTCCTCGGCTCCTAGTACCGTAACCAAGTTTCGTGTCTGTGTGTTGTCTTTGTGTTGTCTGTTTGTTGTCTGCCTGTGGGGAAGATAAACATTTGGTTTAAATCTGATAAATGTTTGATTTGAAAATAACATTTTTTACTCGGGAAGGACATGTTGGATGGAATGGGTATGGGTTTGTTCTTTATCGATAGTTTTTAATGAAAGATAATTCTAGTGGGACGAGAAACAGAAGCCAGATGCTTCCCCAAGTGGCTGACGGTCTTGTCAAGAACAAACATCAAAGATATTAAACCATAACGAATCGTCAACGGATCGTTCAACTAGATTCGATCGGTAATAGTAAAACCACACATTTACAATGCATACAAATTCTCCGGGGTATTTAAATGAGGATTGGGTATATACTACTGCCGTCCACTCATCAACTGGTGGTTAGCCAAGTGGTTAAAGCACTTGCTTATCACGCCCAAGCCATGTGTTCGAATCCCAGTTTGTCAATGTGAATCCCGTTGTTGCCTCTGACGCAATACAATTCGACCATTGCTAAACGCGCTGTAAACCATTCTTAAGCAATACGCTCCGGTTGCCCCGATTTCGAGCCTGGAGCAGCTACACCATTTGTTCTCGTTGTGTTCTCGTCTAGTTGTAGTATACACAAAGAATTTAGTCAAGCACCCCTGACATATCTCATCTGTTGAATGAGCCCCGATGTTAACCCTTTGGAGCATAGTTAAGCAAAGGGATTGAGGGACCGTAGGGTAGCCTTGGTCGTCGTGTGCTCTATCCAAAGACCATCGTGAAGCCTATTTCTTAATTTTGCTGGAAACAGCATATCATAGACGTTCGGTGGGGTAGCCTAGTGGTTAAAAGCGTTTGCTCGTCACTCCGAAGACCCGGGTTCGATTCCCCACATTGGTACTATATGTGTGAAGCCCATTTCTGGTGTCCCCCGCCGTGATATTGTTGGAACATTGCTAAAAGCTGCGTAAAACCATACTCGCTCACTCACTCACTCACTCCTGAACAGAAGCTGGCCCAATTGGAAGCTGCTTTACACGAGGAATGGCGTAGACTGCCCCGAGGACCAGGAGGCTGACATGGGGTATGAGGAGGGGAGTGCTGGCTGTCATACAGTCACATGGAGGTTACACTCGGTATTGAACTTGAATCGTGTAAGACACGCAAAATAACATTTTAAGTGTTCACATTCACTAATAAATCCAACAATAAACATTATAGGGCCATACTTACATGGATTTGTGTGAAAATCATTTGGTTTTTTTCTCTTTAAATGAGCAATTAGCTTCATAAAATCAAACACGGGTCAGAAAAACTCATGTTTTTCCATCGTGCCTACCACGAGAAATTTAATGTACGTGTTGAAAACCTATCATTGCAAAAATACAGGGGTACTTAATTAAGTTTTGTGTGTATATTTTAGTTACACATGACTTCAGACTGAAGTATAACGGAGAAGCTGGTCGTGTTGTCGGCTTACGGTTTGTCTTAAGTGACCAGTGCCGCTCAACCGGACAAACGGCAGAGCTGATGCATAATGCTAATTACCATTACGTGATGGTTGTCCGCAGTTACTTATATCGTCATCATTGCCATTTCACCGTTACAGAGCTAAAACAGTCTTCTCATACGACAACTATGTTGGTCTATGTTAAAAACAATACGTAACAGAATCATGACAATTTATCCTCACTCTATATGAATCGTAATACCCGAGGCCATTTCTTGCTTGCCCTTCGTGAAATTGGGGGAATAGTGCTAAACGTGGCGTAAAACTATATTCACTCACTCACTAAAAGAATCGTAATACACAATGTGTACGTGCGTGATTGAGTGAGTGAGTGCGGCGTAAGTGCGTAAGTCAGTGAGTGTAATTGTTCTCCGCTTTCAGCAATATTTCTTAAACATCACGGCGACTGGCATAAATTGAGCGTTAATCACTTAGCTACCCCATGTAGATCAGGGTTAGAATTTGTCTTCAGCAACCCATGCCTGTTGTAAAACTGACGGACTGACTGAGTTTGGTTTTACGCCGCTTTTAGCAATATTCCAGCAACATCACGGCGGGGGACACCAGAAATGGGCTTCACACATTGTACCCATGTGGGGATTCGAACCCGGGTCTTCGGCATGACGAGCCAATGCTTTAACCATTAGGCTACCCCACCGCCCCGTGCCTGTTGTAAGAGGCGACACATGTCATCGTATCCGAATTGCGTAGGTCGATGATCATGCTGTTGATCACTGGATTGTCTGATCCAGACTTGATTATTTACAGACCACCGTCATATAGCTGGAATATTGCTGAGTGCAGCTTCAAACAAAAAACAAATAAAAAATAGAAAACAACAAAGAAACAAAAATTAGTCGAAATGCGTATGACGAACTACGGCTATAACGAATTAAACATAGGGGTCCCTTTGAGTTCGTTTTAACCGTAGTTTAGTGCACAATGAAACTTAAATCTATTTGTTCGACAATACAAAGGTTACAGTATCTTGCCGTTATATAGATAGATAAGTATAGATATAGTCAAACCTTCACTCACTCCAATCTTGATCCTTTCATCAGCAACATCACCCCCGCAGGCTGCAACAACGGCGATGTCGTGGCCGTCCACAATGTTGCACAACAGGTACCATATGAATCGTTGGTGACGGAGACTCAAGACCTCGGGGGTAGCTTTAATTGCCTTCATGTGGCTGTCGAGTCAGTTTCGGAAAGGTGCGGAACTGCCGAATTTCTAAATGGAATCATCAAGATTGTAATCAAAGTAAATATTTGTACATTAGTAAATTATTTGGACAAGACTTTGTTTCATTGATTTACCCCGCGGTTGTTTTCCAACAGTCTCGTGGATCGGTCTACCGCGAAGCGTCAGAGGGACTGGATGCGCTAACGTACAAAGTTGATACGCCGAGAGTCGTGGCCGTGGAATGGATAGGATGCCGTACGTGAAGTTGTGTGGTGGTAAAGTGCACGTCCTCCGTTGTTTGACGTACGTTCGGGTCCTAGTCAATTGAACGCGTTTTCTGGTGATATTAAACGCGATGTGAAGCCTTCTTCAGTTTTCAGAGATATGGAAACACGTTTTCTGGCTCAATGAAGGGATAGTGTAGCCTGTATTAAAGCCGTGGAATATCATGTTAAAAAGTTTCGATTTTCTACACAGCTGCAATATGTGATGTTCATTCTTGGAACTATTCGCCGTAATATTGGAGCAATACTTTTTCATAGATTTTGAATATATTACGTGCCCTGTTATCGTGATTGGTAATCCGTTATCTTGTTCTCCCGGTTTCATCTCGTGATAACCGCTATGTCGTAATGTTCTGACACGGTTAATGTCGTAACAACGTTATGTGAAATATTGCTTCGCCTCGTAATATTCGGTTTGACGTCAAAACGGTTATATCGTAATTCCCATTTCCGTCCAAACACAGTTGCCGTAATAGACATTATACAAAGCGTAACATGTATCTGACGTAATATCCTTTATGTCGTAACAAACGTGCGTTGTTATCACCATTATATCGAAGCGTCAATTATGACGTTATTTCCTCTATATCATAACCACAATGTCGTAATATCTTGTTCATCGTACACAGTGATGCCACAGCAAGGGCATGCAGATATATACTCTTAAAAAAGTAGGGGAATCGGAACCTTCCATTTGGATAGGAAGGATAAGCTAGGAAGGATAAGCGATAACAAACCTTTCAAAGACATCTTATGAACGCACCACAATTCTCTTTATCACCACCACACAACGCATGGGATGCACGTGCACAACGCAGTAGCCCCACCCACCCATGTGCATAGGGTGTCATTCTTGATGTTGACGATTTTCAAGAAGGTCGATAAAACACTGTAGACCATTAACTTTGACATTCATATTGCATCACACAATGTCTAGTGTTTGTTTCTAGTCGCTTTTTTGTTTGAAAATGCAAATCGTACACATGCAAATTTCAAGTCCTACACCAATCATCTTTCAAGAGCGACTACTGTACAAACAGCTACGGTCATAAGGAAGTGCAAGTGGTGATGCTCTCTCAAAACATTAATTATTATCATACCAAAATTGATTGACTCCGATATATCACCCATTTTTTTCAATCGTAAAATAAAAATGAAGTTCCCCTACTTTTTATATGAGTATACATGTATATAATATTGTACAAAATCTAATGTGTCATGGTACGGTGGGGTAGCCTAGTTGTGAAAGCGTTCGCTCGTCACACCTAAGACCCGAGTTCGATTCCCCGCATAGGTAATATGAGAAGTCCATTTCTGGTGTTCCCCGCCTTGACATTGTTGAAATATTGCCAAAAGCGGAGTACAAAAATACTCACTCATTTATATATATCTTTATAGTCACATATTCCGCCTCCTCACACATCCATTATCAGCAGTGAAGCGTACAACTTTATGGATGACAACTTCTTATTTATTGCATAGGGCGACGTTTCGGTGTAGATTCTTTCATTATTGTCTAGCTAAGAGTGAGTGAGTTTAGTTTTACGCCGCTTTTAGAAATATTCCAGCAAACTTAGAGTAACACCAGAAATAGGCTTCACACATAGTACCCATGTGGGGAATCGAACCCGGGTCTTCGGCGAGACGAACCAACGCTGTAACCACTAGGCTACCCCACCGTCCCAGCTAAGAGCAAGAAACTACACCGAAACGTCGCTCTATGCAATAAACAAGAAGTTATCATCCATTTCTGGTGTCACCCACCGTGATATTGCTGGAATAGTGCCAAAAGCGGGGTACAACCAAACTCACTCCATCACTCACTCACTCTAGAAGGCCGATCAAACATCCCGTTATCATGACAATCCAAAATCTCCTATCCATGATTCTAGCTTTGGTCGGCATTATTCCCGATCGTGTAGATACAGCTGGAATGAGTGACTATGGCTTTACGCTGCTTTTAGCAATATTCCAGCAATATCACGGCGGGGACACCAGGAATGGACTTCACACATTGTACCCATGTGGGGAATCGAACCCGGGTCTTCAACGTGACGAGCAGACGCTTTAACCACTAGGCTACCACCGCCCGAGATATAGCTGGAGAATATTGCTGCTTAAAACAACAGAGCCAAACAATAAATCGGGTATCCGAGACAGGTTAAAACATAAATAACTCGCTGTTGAGATAATCGTTTTTCTGTGCGTATTTCTCGATTAATCAATAACACATGTTTGTCTGTGATTCAGTGAATAACAAGCTCACGACATGTTCCTAAGATAATTTGACTTCTTTTCCAATCGAAGCTCGAAGAATGACAAGGTCCCCGTTCAACCCATCATTTTAAAACAACTAAGAAAAACTTGTAACGATAACTCTAAGTCTTAATGTTGAGGTCAACCAAACCCTTTACATAAAATGTTCATTTATATTTTCAGGAAGTGTATTTATTTCCGGAGCATTTTAGAGGATGGCTGAAACAAAACAAAGATGTGTGAAACCCTTTTTCCGGTTTACATTTCTCATTGATAATATTGTGTCTGTTTTGTTTGTTTGTTGTTTAACGCCCAGTTATATGACGGCGGTCTGTAAATAATCGAGCTAGTGGCCAGGCATTCAGTGATGCATGTCATCGAATCCTCGTTGCGTCTTTCGATGCTCATTGTGACAATCACTGGATTGAATACACAATATCATTCAGAAAGTTGTCATATGTAACATATCATTATGTTATATTTGGGATTACACTTTCTCAGTAAAGCACGCAACGTCATCCATCTAACCCCCTCAGATGGAAATCGGTGGTCAAGACCACTGACTTTAAATTGTATACCCCTCTTTCAAGTGTAAATTGGCACAACCCCCACGGCCGATGAATACACAATGCCATTTAGAAAGTCAAATGTAACACTTGTTCTATATTCCATTAAAAGAAGTAGGGGATATTCCATTGTGCGAGCATACCACCAGCCAATGCCAATGCATATGAGAAAAGTAATATATATCCATACAGATGAAACATTTCAAAAGGAGTGGAATAAATTGTCACATTTTCACTTCATCATCTGTTTCCTCCTTGGCTTCATCATTTGCAGTTTATTAATCTTGTAAATCCAATATCCCTATAGCTACTTGTTTTGGATGGTATGTTTCAAATACGGATAACACTTTCTCTGTAAAGTACTAGGATTGGACTGAAACCAACAAAGGTGCTAGAATCTATACTTTACTGAGAAAGTGTGATCTCAAATAAAACGTGTTACATTTGATCACTTTCTAAATGGTATTGTGATTGACATCAGGAACATTGATATACGCAACTGGGATACGTTGACATGCATCAACCACGTCAAGGAGATTAACCACCCGATCCCGTTAGTCGCTTCTTACGACAAGCGGAGTTGCTGAAGACCAATTCTAACCCGAATCTTCGTGGGTCATTGACAACACAGAAAATCGAGCTTTTACTACTTTTAGCAACATTTCTACTGCGACTTGTCCGAAATGTGTTAGTGTAAGAAAGACAAAGAGAATCACCTTTCTTCCAAGATATAAACATACCTGAAAATAGCCATACACAATTCATCACGTTGTTAACTGACAGGCGCGTAGCAAGCCCGATAGGTTGCAAAAGCTTTATATTCAAATAGTATTGAGTGTTTGCCCAGCTTTTTTAGCAACGGTCATGTGTTAGCCCGGGATTTTTGTAATGGTAGCTACGCCCCTGACTGACATTTCAGATGGGCATAAAAGGTGTCTTAACTCGGCAGATTTAATCCACCTGTCGTATAGTTACTGTTACATTATCCATACAGTCAAGGTTTTTCAATCTTATTGGAGGCTTGAGGCCCCGTAATCTACTGCGCTTTTCATTCCTGGTTACCTACCGTACGTCTATATGCATGTGAAGACACGGGTCTCTTAGTCGCCCCGGAGTGTGCTTTCCCTGTGTTCGATCCCCTGCTTATAGTCCACTGAGTTAACCCCGAGGGAATTCCATGGTAGTCAGGTACAGTTGAATGGTAGTCGGGTTGGGTTAAATCCCTTGTCTGTGCCTGGATCCGCTGATCAGGACTCCGAGACGATTCTCGATCCGACAAAACTATGTATAATCATCATGCACAGGTTCCACTGAAGTCTGAAGTTAATACTGACTGACTTTGTATGGTTGGTTTAACGCCGCTTTTAGCAATATTTCAGCGATATCACGGTTGGTGACCACAGAAATGGGCCTCACACATTGTATCCATGTTGGGATTCGAACCCGGGTCTTCGGCGTGACGAGCGAACGCTTTAACCACTAGGCTACCCCACTATGAACGTCTATGATATGCAACACTTTGACTTTCCAAGTAAGTACCACCGCGGTGGTCTAGTGGATAGAGCGCCTGCAGGGCCGGCGGAAGATCGGGGTTTCGACCTTTGACCAAAATACGCACTATCCACACAACCAACAAAGGGGGTCCTAAAACCAAAGGTGCTACATGGTGTTACCCTGTCGCTCTTGAATTGGTCTTCAGCACCCAATGCCTGTCGTGAGAGGCGACTAATGGAATCCGGTGGTCAGGCTCTCTGACGTGGTTAATGCGTGCCATCCTATCCCAGTTCCGAAGATCGATGTTCATCATGTCAATCACAGGATTGTCCGGTCCAGACTAAAACATTTACAAAACGATGTCATATAGCTGGGATATTGCTGAATAAGGCGTTAAACAGCA